TAATAATATAGTATATATATATATATATATATATATATATATATATATATTAAAAATATATATTTGTCGACTCGCTTCAACTAATGTTCTCCGATATTCGTAATTTAATTTCATTCTTAAAATTATTTATCAAAATCTTATCTTTTAAAATTAAAAATCGTGTCACTCGTAGCAGAATTAAGAATGATCGAATGGTTGCCACGAAAGAATATGTACGTAAAATTGCATCAGCGACACACCACCGGAAGTGAGAGACGCGCGGACGGAGAATCTTTCCATAATCCGGAATGTATTTGCTTATTTCGTAATTACGAGAGAGTAAAGGGTATAAAGAAAATGTATTGGATCGCATCGCATCCGTGAGCAGATTTCCCACGGGTAAACATAACTCACCACACATTGACAGAGCCTTGGTGTTCTAGAGAAGAGGAGTACTACACGAAAGTTTCGCAGCTCTCGCGTGTCCCGTGCGTGCGTGCGCGCGCGCGCGCGCGCGCGTGTGTGTGTGTGTGTGTACATGTATCATGTATATGTGCAAAAATCTCGTCTCTCAAAGAGAAACAAATTGAGGTCTCGGGTGCTTGATTAAAATTAAACCTAAATTAATCCCTTCTTCAACCTTCTTCTCGGTCGCGCGTCGCCACCCGTGGTAAACACGCGGTTTTCATATTACCGCGTCGTGTCGAAGAGGGTAGTCTCTCTCGAAACGAGAAGTAGTATTCTCGCGATGAGAGACGAGCATGCTCTTGATCGCGATGTAATATTCGCGCACGGCGCAAACATTGCATTTACATCCCCCTCATCTCCGCTAGCTGCACGCACTTTCGTGTACGGCATGCGTATTCGAGACGCGAGCCACTCTTTACTCTCCCCCTTTCTCCCTTTCTCCTTCTCCTCTCTCGTAATACTTCCCGGAAGTCTACGAAGATCTGAATTAAGTATGAAGTCATAAGAAATGTAGATGCATGTAGATGCGCTACAAAATGAATGTCCGCTGCAAAGTCGGTGTGCGCGACTCAACCTTATCCGTCGACAATGCATTTTAGCGCATTAATTGCAACGGTGCAGCAATGCGAATAACGCGAAAACGCGCGGACATTAATAATCGTGCAGACTATGTTTCAGCTTGCAACTTATTTTTTAGATAAAGATCAATTAAACACTATATATATATATATATATATAGAGTAGTAA